GGGTTTAACCTTTTCGATGGATTAACACAGTCTGAAAATTTAGATAAAACAAAAATATTTAAATTTAGAAATAAAATGCCTAAAAAATAAGTTTCATAATTAATATAAAATAATTTTACAATTCTTTTAACAACTGTATGCGCTGAGATAAATCAAATAATTAAAACGAAAAAAAATATTGTAGATAAAAGGTGTGTATCATAATGATGTAGATGATAAATAATTGATAAAATTAAGAGAACAGGTTTTTAATTATAAAACACAATGATAATCTTAAAACAATAAGGAAAAAAAATGATAAAAAATAATAATAGGTACACTAGTATAAACTATATGTAAATAAATTTAGAAACTTAGAATAGATTTGTTTCTAATAAAATTAAATAAGTGGTTTATGTTATACAATACGAGGAAAATTAAACAATGTGATAAAGTATATACTAATGATGCAATAATAATCACGCAGTATGTGAAATGTGGGAAAAATATGAATAATAAAGAGAATATTATGTACTTAACGTCTTTATTTTTAATATTAGAAATTAATCAGTAGTAAGTGAATTAGTAGGTATTATTGACTTTAACTGTACTAATATTTTTATATAATAAGCATTTCATCATATTAACTCTCATTAATCCTTGTTAAGTTGTTTTTTTATATTAAGAATGAATTATCCTCATATAGTAAATTGTAGAATTTTATAATGAGAAATAGCTGGGATTCCAAGAAACCTCTCAAAATTCAATTAGGTAACATTTCAACATATTTTCTCATTTACTCTTTTATATATTTTCTTCAAAAAATATTTTTTGTTGAACAAAAAAAAATTCAAAAGTCAATATAACCATATTTTTTATCCTTCATCCGTGATAGGTTAAATTAGACCAATTTGTTTGAAATAGGTTTGGAAATCTCAACTACCTATAGATTGTTATATGTTTCATGGTATGGACACAGACTAAGTATGGATACAGTTTTTTTTATTATAAATTAGATAGGCATAAAATAGCTATAACATTTCTACGTATTTATTACTGTTTGATATTTCGCGATAGGTCACTTTGGAAGGACCAGTACTGGCCGACCTTGCAAGTGGTGGCGTTTGCAGTGCACACGATTCTGGTATCTACAGTCACTAACTCTGCGGGCGAGGACTCTTGAGCCTCGAGTGTATGCATCGCAGAGTAGTACTAAGTACTGAGCAACATGTAACATATTCAGAAGCTCGGATTCAGATCCATGAAGGTTCCATAACGGTTAATAAGGTATATGAAACTGCAGGTGTGGGCGCAGGATTGTTTAAGGTAGAAAGAGGGCCGCAAATAAACTCGGTGTCGTAATCGACACTAGACAAAGAGACCGGCGAGGTGCTGACGTTGAATCAGTCACTGAGCTTCAGTCGAATCGTCTGCAAGCCCGAATAAAAGCTGCGGAACAGGGAAATTTGTTTCGACAACACGTCGATAAACCCTAGCACGGTGTCTTCTATAAGAACATGGAAACACTAGGTTTATCGACCAAGCTAATATTCGCCTTTCTACGGTCAGCCGGGCTTAAGTCGCAGACTGAGGAAATCATTATTGCGGCCTGTCAAGATGGTATCATCAACACCTTGGTCTATCGTAGCCGCGTGTGGCGTGTAGAGGTTCCTGATATCAATTGCAGGACCTGCCGTCAATTGCCGGAATTGCTCATACACTTACTTTCAACATGTCCCATATATACCATTTCGGCCTACATCCACCAACATAACGCAGCATTATGAATGCTGTTGTAGAGATAACCACAATTAATCAGTCACAGCAGAGATTTAAAATGTATAAGTTAAAAAATTAGTAGTTATTAAAATATCATTAATAATAATCATTTCCCTGGCTACCATAAACATAGGAATAAAATAACTAACATGGCTCTCAACGTTTGACAGTGATTAGTTGGTAATATTAACAATGCTAGAAAGTATCAACAATGTTAGCAAGTGTGTAAGTACGCCACGGCTATATTACCATCTACTCGTACGGGGTAGACCAGACACCAGTGCTATTTTACGGAGATATCGAGTCCTCTGTCGAGAACGAGAAATGCCGGATTTACTGGAACTACTCGTTCTCGACTGTCAAGCTACCTAAGCGAATAAGTCTGACAGTCCTTTTCGATCATCATCTCAAGGTGATGTATATCATCGACTGTTCGGCATCTGCTGAGGAAATATCATCTTGAAGGAGGAGGAAAAACAGACTAAATATCGCGATCTCCGATACAAGCTCCAAGTGCTAATCTGTCAAAATGGTCGTCCTGATGATCGGTATACTCGGAGGGATAAAGACAACGTTGCGTTCGGAATTGAATACCATACCGGCCTGCCAAAGATCAGCCGGGTGGCTGGCAGGCCAAATGCAGAAGGCGGTCATTCTAGGTTCTCTCCGTCTGCTTAGGGCACATGATTCTGGAATCTACAGCCACTAATCCTGTGGGATGTGGGGAGTGGCTGTGATTAATATGCTGACGCGACTCCCATGTGATTCGGAGCCATGGGAGGACTGTCCATCATCGAGAAACCGAAAAAAAAAGCCATAGAAATTAGACAATCTGAATCTCTGTATCCAAAGCCGAAGATGTTTAGAAGAGGTTTACATTTAGAAAAACGTAAATATACAACCATTTCCACCGACATTGCCAGTGCCAATGGCGGGAATCGAACAAGCAGCTACGGTGAAAAGATATCTAGTTACTGTTGAAAAATAAAACTGTAAAGCAAAATCTACAAAGTTTGCCAAATATGTCACTCCTGATCGATTTTTTATGTCGTATGATGTACTAAAAACAATTCAAGTATTATTTCTGTTAAGCATCTAAGCGACAAAATATCAGTGTTTTTAGGTCCATTGTACTTCTTTATTTAAATAAAAATATTAATATAAATATAATTAAAGTTTAGACCGAAAACCGAGATAAACTGTCGAGAGTAATCATGACGTATCATCTTGAAAGAATAATATGGGTTCGTTGACCTTTTGTAGACCAAGACTAAGCTTTTTCTTCTCTCAAAATCGCGAATCCCCATTCCATACATTTTTTGCAGGAGTAAATAAATTGTATAATATACTTTTCTCTACAATCTCTAGTTCTGTATAAGAAGTAAATGCAGCAAATATTAAAAAAAACTGCAATTTTCATGCACAAAAATTATTTTTGTGCACAGTTCAAAATCCATTTCGACACGGTTAATTAGATTAAGTAAACATATTCTTAATATTTATAATAAAGGACTCTAGTCTAGCAAATAAGAAACAATACAGGTAAGTAATTCGTTAAGCATAAAGTAAACTGGAAACTTAAGTACTTTAAAACAGAACAATCAGGTGCGTGGGCAAATATACAGAGAACATAAAGAAAACATTGAAAGTGAAATAAAGCACCAATCCAACACACTGAAGGTCATCCCTAGGCGCTTATTTAAAGACCGTTAACTCTCCATGAAAACTTTTATTGTTCTGTGAGCTCATCAACATGTGTGACCAAATTCAGGAGTATTTCGACTATGTCCTGCCTCTGGTTAAACGGTCAGGAGAAGTGAGTTGCGTTTTATCGACTAATCCGGTTTTTTAATTATTTCATAAATTCTCAGGAATTGTTGACGGCCGAAAATTATGAAGTGGAAACAAAAGGGTTTGTGTATGATTTGGTGACAATTTACGACAGGAAAATTGAAGAAATTCTTATAAAAAAAATCAAAGAAAAATGGCCCACTCATAAGTAAGTAATTATTTAAATTTATAAACGGGTGGGATTTAGAAGTTCAGATTAAAAAAGTAAAATTATTTTAGTAGACAACAGTTATGCTTACGATAAACGATTTAGAAATGAACTTACTTTTTTTAATGTCGAGTTTAAAGTGTTCTGAAACAGATTTGAAGTCAATTTTTTTTCAAAGAAAATCCTGACATGGGTTTGAATCTTTGATGTAATACTGAACACTAGTTTCCATAAACAGTAAATCCCCAACTACTCGACGGGCATTTCGTCATCCAAGTTGGCATCATCTGGAGATGACTAAAAGTTGTAAAATAAAAATGTTCTATTGTTGGTTTCACCGAAAGTGATTCTTACTTCATTATTTTAAGTACCACCCTATATTTTTTAGAGATTTTCACTCTGTATTAAGGCAAATTGGGAAACTGTAGACTTCATTAAACATTAGTTTTTTATAGTATTAGTGTAAAATTTTTGCAAGTCTGTCTTCGTGGGTCGTCGAGAAGATTTCAAGAAATCATTAATCGTTTGAGATTTAAAAACTATTTACAGTTCAAGAGAAAATATTATAAGATTTATAAGTGACAAAACATGTACGGAAGAAATAAGTATGGCACTCAGTATGACACCATATAGATGTAAACTTTTTTATTACTGATTTGTCAAAAAAAGGCATTTTAAAAAAGTTTTACTTCTGAAATATCGTTAAGGACAGTCAAATTTTAAATTTATAATACAGGGCGATCGGTAAAAGGGACAGATCAAAAAAGGCGCAACAGATGTGTAGGTACATTTATTTTTGAGTACAAAAAGCAAAATGCCACTTAAGAAAACTATTCAGGGTTAAAAATATGGGACAAGTAGTGCAGCACATTCCCTAATGTTACCTGTTAACCTCGTTGTTGATATTATTTTCTCGTTATTTTCTTAATTTTCGAAAAATATTTTTATTAAAAAAATTCATTTCTCCTAAAGAAAATACTCATAAACAACTACATTTGGCGCTCTAGTTGAATTTGTGCTTAGTGACGTCACGAAAATGCAACTTAATTTTTCTTCAGCTTAAATGAAAAGAAAAAATAAAGAAATGACACCTCTTATTTTTATCTCTAGTTTTCGATTTTGAAATAAAAAAAAATGGGAAATACCCCATTTAAGCATATTATCATAAAGAAATCATTATCATTAGACAAATGCAAAATTGTGTTGGTTGAAATTATAAATTAATTAGACCAATCTAATTATGTCATATGGCTCCGTGGTCTAGAGGTAACGTACTTGCCTCGGGGTCCCGGGTTCGATTCCCGGTAGAGGAACTGGGATTTATTAAATAAAAAAATAAAAAAGAATATAATAAAAGAATTCTATGAACACTTATCTTCCAACATTACTATGTAAAATACACACTTTCTAATAATGGGAAATGTAAATTTTAAAATATGTATGTATGTGTATATGTATATGTGTATATATATATATATATATATATATATATATATATATATATATATATATATATATATATATATATATTTTTTTTTTTTTTTTTTTTTTTTTTTTTTTTGTTTTTCAGGTTTTCGCGGGTGGTGAATGTTAAATTCGTTTTCCGGGTATACTCCCGCGTAGGTGATAGGCCCCGAGAGGGACCGTGGTTGTCTGAACGACGTTTCGGCAGAATCTCATCTGCCATCTTCAGGTTCTAACAGATAACTGCTTACTGCGGCTTCTGGTAACTCGAACTGAAAATGAGATTCTGCCGAAACGTCGTTCAGACAACCACGGTCCCTCTCGGGGCCTATCACCTACGCGGGAGTATACCCGGAAAACGAATTTAACAATATATATATATATATATATATATATATATATATATATATATATATATATATATATATATATATATATATATATATATATATATATATATATATATATATATATATATATATATATATATATATATATTTGTAAAGAGAATTTAAATCTTTTTTCACAATTATTGTAAAAATATACAAAATACATTGCTTTGTTTTTCCCCACTTTTATTTGACTTTCAATTATTTTTTTGTTGAAATTTTCTAAATTCTTGGAAAGAATACTATAAGTTACGTTAAACATTTAAGTTATTTCCAAAGACAAACCAAAGAATTGGGATGAGAGCGTTATAGGAATCACCCTGTACAATATAAATGTACATTTCTTCCAACTCTACACATAAGTTAATCGTTAATCGTGATTATTTTGTTGTAAAATGTGCACTAGGGTGGCTCAAAGATTTCTATAACAAATTTGAAGGGTGCCCTGGTTTGCAGCGAACGTTTCATGTTTTCACATAAGTATATTTTTGAACCACCTTATTAAAGTGCACCCATGGAATAAAACTAAACACAATTTTACACCAATATTAGTCACATTTGTGTTAATATTTTTACTGAAAACGAGTTTTTTTTAGTACATATTCTATGTACATATCTATACAAATCAGAAGAGTTATTATCGTCGGAATTGTCGCCTATGAATGTACTTCTACTGGTTTTTTAATTTTTATCTAATTATCTTTTTTTTACTTATTTAATGTTAATAGTACCACCTACAATTATAACATGTGGTGCGAAATTCTAGAACCTTGACATTCACTTTTCAAGGAAAGGCAAGGTAACGGTACTAATCTATATTATTGCATAATATTACAGGGGAAATACATAATAAGTGGTATTTTCAAACATAATTGATTTTTAAAATGGTTAACATGGTTCATTACTCTCTGGAGAATTTCCAAGTTATGTGGGAAATTTGCTCATACCTATTAAATTTACCATACTATGTATTGTGTAAATAATTACTAATTCATAGCATTGGAAATTCTCAAATAGAAGAAATTTCTGTTCCTTCCTCTTAATTAATATGAATTAAAAAAATTATGTTTTTATACTGAATATTGTATATCGAAACATGGATTCCAGATTTGCATTTATGTTCTATTTATTTAAAATAATCAGAAAAAAGTTAACATTTTCTAAATTAAAAGTTATTTTCAGATAACTACAACTTCGTGTGATTTAAATAATCTTAGGATTTGCTAAACATGTTCATAAACAATCATCGAAAAATTGCGGACAGAGTTAACCGAAATGGTCAGCATCAGTGATGCGATGTTGTAATGCGTCGAATGAAGTACAGAGGCATCTACGTCGTAGAGGTACCGAGACTGTTCGAGGAACTACTAAACGTGAGGAACGTCTCTAAAGAATTGCAGCCCTAAGTGACTGTTTCAATACAAGGTCTGTGAAAAATTAATGGTTAGCTGGTACGGGTCAACTATCCATCAAGTCCAATTATCGAATAACACGTTCATATTTAATATGGCTCCGTGGTCTAGAGGTAACGTACTTGCCTCGAAACCTCGGAGTCCCGGGTTCGATTCCCGGTCGAGGAACTGGGATTTTTCTGTGAGAGAGATTAATCATAGTATACTCGGATATTGGGTGTGTGTCCATTGTCTCTAAATGTGTAGCCCTCTCCCACACAAGGTCATTCCAGACCTTCAGGGATAAAGGGGGTTGTAATTTCATGTGGTGTTATTATTATTATTATTATTATTTGATCTTCGATCGTATATACTGACTGTCTCATTTTGCTGCTGATCCAAAGGCATAGAGAGGGACTTAAGTGTTGCCAAGAACGTGCCCAATAGAAACTTGTAGGACTCACGAAGTTGTTCATGAATTTACGATGGGTGAAGAAGTGTGCACCGTCGACGTGGAGAAAGGTCAGATATTCAGTTTTGTCTGAAATGGGAGAAGCACTACTCGAGGCGATAGGATATGGTGTGTAACAGCATATGAAAGCAGGTCCTCTCTGGTCTTGCTAGAAAAGAAAATGAATGCACAAGAATTTATTTTTATGATCTTGGAATTGGTTGCATTATCGTGTCTTCAGAGGTAGAAGAACCTCATGTTTCAGCAGGATAATGCCAGATCTCATACTGCTGTTATAATCAGAAGGGTTCTACAAGAAACTGACGAGATCCTTCTTCCATGGCTCGTACGATCACCTGATTTTTACCAATCGAATATGTATGGGATATGATGGACCTTCAGCACTTACGATAATAGATTCAAATATTTTGAGATACAATACCCCAATAAAATTTTGATCACCTAATTTGAAGCATGCCTTGAGTTGGAGAGTGAAGATTGCGTTTAGCACCAATTCCTATTAATTTTGACATAGATCATCTAATCTTAATGGATTTTTATTTATTTAACAGTCTTTCTAAGCCCAACTGTGTTGCAAAAAATAAAATTGCCATATTTGAACGACTGCATTTTCTGTCACATTATCATCTACTAAAATATTAAATAACACTATTTTTTTATTTTAGGTTTATTGGGGAAGAAGAATCAGAGATAAATGGAATAAATAAATTAACAGATGATCCTACTTGGATCATCGATCCCATAGACGGAACAGCAAATTTCGTACGGAATTTAAAAATTACGTGTGTATCCATAGGTCTAGTTATAAAAAAGGAGCAAACCTTGGGGATAGTGTACAATCCATTTTTAAACGAATTGTATACAGCAATTAAAGGACGTGGTGCATTTTTAAATGGCCAAAGAATAACCACAAATGGGCAAAATGGTGCGTACTTTTACAAAGATAAAATTAGGATGATGAAAATATTTAAAAAATTTAAAAATCTAAACCTAATTACTAATTATTGCATTAAACATAAGTATTATTTTATATTCGATTTTTCTCCTATTAATTGTTTCTACATTCATTTTGATTTAACCCTTGTTTTTTTGAAAAAACGTGCAGATCTCCTTAGATTTTGGGATACCTAGATACTTGAGCATACATTATTTCTGTGATTAATAATTTCTATAATTAATTACAAAATATAAAACAATAGTAAATACGCTACAAATTTTAAATATTACGCTTTAATGACCACTAGAATTTTTGAGTGATGTAATCTTTTTTAATATTACAATTATAATAATAAATATTATTGTTAGACGATAAAAAACTGGTTCCAAGAAAACACTATAAAATTTTAAATATATGTATACGAGTATATGTATACATAGTTTACGTAAAAAAAATTCCAATATGAAATGAAAAAAAAGATTACATCAAAATTTAAATGAGCGAGGCAAATTTAAATTTTGCATGTTGCCTATTTGACAAGTTACACAAAAGAAAAGCAATTTTAAATGGGTCATTTATAAATACCATAACCCTCCCTACAAATATTACCCACAAGAAAAGTATCGGTTATTTGAAATATATATCCACTCTGTAAGTCTTCTCAACTAAATTATACAAAAAATATATAAAATAATTACTTATGCAGATAGATTTGAATAAACATCAACTTCGTCAGAATTATTTTATAAATACGTAATAATAAGCATACAGCAATGTTTAATTTAAAAATAATAATAATTGTGTTCACGTTACGCATAACAAACAATAATATAAGTTATGGTCTCCTCCGTGTGACATATTTACAGGGGTAAAAAAATTCTTGAGCTTTCGGACCTTATACCCTTTCATTAAATTAAACTGTTGTCAACGTTTCGATAAAACTGTTATCATATTCAGGGCTACAGCCAAGAACTTTACTTAAAAATAATTAAGTGGATGGAAATAAATTCTTACCTTAGTTTAAACAAAATAAATTGAAATTACAGTTTGACATAATTTCCAAAAAAAGAACAAAAAATATATATAAAGAACATTTCTACACATAAAAAAATTAACACCTAAACAATCGACATTCCCTCATCACTGTAAACAAGCACTGCAGATTAAAATATTTGTCAATATGACCTTTTTATTATTATCAGTTAAATATTTTTCTATTGTGAAGTTTTTTACTTTTTCTCTTGTGTTTTACTGTATACAAATATCCATCTACATGTATGTCTTAAAATATTAGTAATAAAAAATCAGAAATTAATTTAAGTCTAATTCAATTATAATTTTTAATTACATACTTTATAGCATAATTTGGTAATATTTTTAGTATCTATCTAATTTAGCATTGACTGTTATTTGGTAATGAACCATTTCTAGAAAAAAGTCTCTTTGTTAGTTTATTTCGGAGTCTAAAATTTTGGTTACAAACAAACTTTTGGAACACCAATGGAAGACCTTATCAGTCCCATTTTAGCAAAACCCTAGACTTCCATGTACCTACCCTTTTTAATTTTTATATGTGGATGATAATTTGAAAAGTATTCCCTAGAAGAAAATTATACATATTTTACAACTGTTCAATAGTGTAAAAGATGAATTATTACAG